TCTACTTACGTCGCCATTATAGACTCTAAATATTCTACTTACGTCGCCATTATAGACTCTAAATATTCTACTTACGTCGCCATTATAGACTCTAAATATTCTACTTACGTCGCCATTATAGACTCTAAATATTCTACTTACGTCGCCATTATAGACTCTAAATATTCTACTTACGTCGCCATTAGAGACTCTAAATATTCTACTTACGTCGCCATTATAGACTCTAAATATTCTACTTACGTCGCCATTATAGACTCTAAATATTCTACTTACGTCGCCATTATAGACTCTAAATATTCTACTTACGTCGCCATTATAGACTCTAAATATTCTACTTACGTCGCCATTATAGACTCTAAATATTCTACTTACGTCGCCATTATAGACTCTAAATATTCTACTTACGTCGCCATTAGAGACTCTAAATATTCTACTTACGTCGCCATTATAGACTCTAAATATTCTACTTACGTCGCCATTATAGACTCTAAATATTCTACTTACGTCGCCATTATAGACTCTAAATATTCTACTTACGTCGCCATTATAGACTCTAAATATTCTACTTACGTCGCCATTATAGACTCTAAATATTCTACTTACGTCGCCATTATAGACTCTAAATATTCTACTTACGTCGCCATTAGAGACTCTAAATATTCTACTTACGTCGCCATTATAGACTCTAAATATTCTACTTACGTCGCCATTATAGATTCTAAATATTCTACTTTCGTCGCCATTAGACTAAATATTCTACTAACGTCGCCATTAAACTAAATATTCTACTTACGTTGCCATTATAGTCTCTAAATATTCTACTTACGTCGCCATTAGAGACTCTAAATATTCTACTTACGTCGCCATTAGACTAAATATTCTACTTTCGTCGCCATTATAGACTAAATGTACTACTTACGTCGCCATTATAGACTCTAAATATTCTACTTACGTCGCCATTATAGACTCTAAATATTCTACTTACGTCGCCATTATAGACTCAGAGACAATTATAACAAGCGCCTAACACTTCGTTCAAAAGCGATTGGATAGGAAGACAAGGTATACAATTACACCTGTTTTTAATAGTGCAATGTTTTAAATCAATTGAAGAAGTAGAAAATGAGTTAAAGTTGATTAGAGACAGTAAAATTAAAGGAGTTGTTTTGAGAGCAAAAGCAAGATGGAAAGTTGAAGGTGAACTGAGTTCCATTTTATTTTGCAATTTAGAAAAAAGACATTATCAAGAAAAGTTAATTCCAAAGCTTTTAACAGAAACTGGTGAAGAAATAACAGATATACAAGACATACAATCAATATGATTCAAGGTCATTCGTTTAAACAAACTTGGTAGCCCTTCATTCCAGCATGTTACTGGTCAAATATCATTATCCTAGGCCTCTTGGTTATTCAGAAGAAGTTGTTTTAAGGTTTTATACATATTTGACCAGTGACCTTGAAAATGGATGAAGATAATTTATTTGAACCAACTTGGTAACCCTTCATCCAAACATGTTAATGGCCAAATGTCATCACCCTAGGCCTCTTGGTTATTCAGAAGGAGTTGTTTAAATGATTACAACTTATTTGACCCCAGTGACATTGAATATGATTCCAGGTCATTCATTTGAACAAACTTGGTAGCCCTTCATTCCAGCATGTTATTGGTCAAATATCATTATCTTAGGACTCTTGGCTATTTAGAAGCCTCTTGGTTACCCAGTGAACAAACTTTAAAGGTTTCATACATATTTGACCCATGTGACCTTGAATATAAATCAAGGTCATTTATTTAAACAAACTTGGTACCCATTCATCCCAGCATGTTACTGGCCAACTATCATTATCCTAGGTCTCTTGGTTATTCAGAAGCCTCTTGGTTATTCAGAAGAAGTTGTTTAAAGGTTTTAATACATATTTGACCCCTGTGACCTTGAAAATGAATGAAGGTCATTTATTTGAACAAACTTGGTAGCCCTTCATCCCAGAATCCTTCTGGCCAAATATCATCACCCTAGGCCTTTTGGTTACTGGGAAGTTGTTTAAAGTAAAAAGTTGACGCCGGACGACGGACGGGCGACGGACGCCGCACCATGCCATAAGCTCACTGGCCCTTCGGGCCAGGTGAGTTAAAAAGAAGGGCTTTTAAAAATTTCCAAATTCTTAAATTTCTTTTGGAGAGAATTATTCACTATATGGGTAGAGTTAACTGATGATGAACTCCCCACAACCCCAGGCACTGTTGCTTCTCAGCCGATCTGGTATAATAAGTTCATTAAAATTGATAATAAGATTTTTATTAATAAACATTGGTGTGACAAAGACATTTTTTTTTATTGGGGATCTTGTTGAAAACAATAGTTTTTTTGAAACCATGAATACTTTTGTGAGAAATTCAATTTGGCTGTTAATTTCATTGATTTAAAAAAAAAAAAAAAATGCAATACCAAGGTCATGAAATTCTATTTTATTTCAAATCATTCACAGAAAATACCAAAGAAAAGTCAAGATGTATGGCAGGAAATTTTACATGTAAGCATTCCCAAAGAATCCTGGTGTAAGTTTTATTCAATTCCGAGATATATTACAGATGACACTAAACTTCAGAATTTTCAGTTCAAACTCTTTCCTAGAATTCTATATTCTAATACAAAATTAATGCAATGTAAATTAAGTGAAACAGAGTGATGCACATTCTGTGGTGTGGGAAGAGAAACATTAATACATTTATTAAGGGAATGTTGTCATGTACAATCTCTTTGGTCATCCTTTATGTATCTCTTGAGGTCACAATATGAAATAGACTTAGCAAGAGACCCAGTAATCATGTTGTTTGGTATTTTTGAAACTGAAAACGAAAATGAAATAAATTTCTTGATCTTAATATTAAAATATTATATATATTTGTGCAAGTTAAGGAGGAAAACCCCTACAATTACTGAATGGAAAACTTACATGTTTTTTTTATAAAAAAAAGTGTGTGGACTTGATACATATTCCAAAAAAAAATTATTATGGTAAATCAAAAATGGAAATTAATTGACAGAATGCTAAATATGGATACATGATGGGAGTTGTAAGCATTTTTTTCTTTCTTTTCTATTGGATACAATCTTCAGAGTTAAATCACTCATGAAATATGTCAAATTCAATGTAGCAATGTAGCAGTATGATTTTTTTTATATTTGTAACTGCTGTAATTAATTTATAGATGCAGGTTCTGTTCAAAGATATAGATAACATACGTACAGTGGCCTTTAATTATTCTTACTGATATTACATATTTTTGTATGTTTTTAATGTGACAACAAAAATTTGAATAAAACAAATCCCCAAAACACCCAGACTACTGTTTGTATGGGAATTATGTCCTCGCCACCTCCAGTGTCATACATACATGATACTATCAAGAGGCGTCAACAGAAAGGCAGGGGAGGGCTATATATCCTCAGTGCTGCAATGGGGAAAGCAGCTTAACTTTGGTTTTGCAGGAATCGCCTCTAACGATATCAGCAATGTGACAGCATGGGCATATTCTTTCCCGAACCTGCACGTGTGAAACATCAAGGCACTTGTCAACAAAAAACCAGTCTCAGTCTGGAGAGTTTTACCGCGTACTTATATTGGTGTGTGACATGATATATATGTAGATCCGACATAAGATTTTAGTGTGTTCCCAACATTTGACGAAAGGTTGTCACTATCGATACATTTACCTTGTGCAATTGTGATTGTCGATATCTGTAATTGTTATTGTCGATATCTGTAATTGTGATTGTCGATATCTGTAACTGTGATTGTCGATATCTGTAATTGTGATTGTCTATATCTGTAATTGTTATTGTCGATATCTGTAACTGTGATAGTCGAAATATGTAATTGTTATTGTCGATATCTGTAATTGTTATTGTCGAAATATGTAATTGTTATTGTCTATATCTGTAATTGTTATTGTCGATATATGTAACTGTGATTGTCGATATCTATTGTTGTTTATGTAGATATCTGACAAAGGTGATTGTCGATATATGTAATTGTTATTGTCTATATCTGTAATTGTTATTGTCGATATCTGTAATTGTTATTGTCTATATCTGTAATTGTGATTGTCGATATCTGTAATTGTTATTGTCTATATCTGTAATTGTGATTGTCGATATCTTTTGTTGTTATTGTCGATATCTATTGTTGTTAATGTAGATATCTGACAAAGGTGATTGTCGATATATGTAATTCTTATTGTCGATATATGTAATTCTTATTGTCGATATCAGTAATTGTTATTGTAGATATCTGTAATTGTTATTGTCTATATCTGTAATTGTGATTGTCTATATATGTAATTGTTATTGTCGATATATGTAATTGTTATTGTCGATATCAGTAATTGTTATTGTCGATATCTGTAATTGTTATTGTCGATATCTGTAATTGTTATTGTCGATATCTGTAATTGTTATTGTCGATATATGTAATTGTTATTGTCGATATCTGTAACTGTGATTGTCGATATATGTAACTGTTATTGTCTATATCTGTAACTGTGATTGTCGATATCTGTAATTGTAATTGTCGATATCTGTAACTGTGATTGTCGATATCTGTAATTGTTATTGTCGATATATGTAATTGTAATTGTCGATATCTGTAATTGTTATTGTCGATATCTGTAATTGTTATTGTCGATATCTGTAATTTTGATTGTCGATATATGTAATTATTATTGTCGATATCAGTAATTGTTATTGTCGATATCTGTAACTGTGATTGTTGATATCTGTAATTGTTATTGTCGATATCTGTAATTGTGATTGTCTATATCTGTAATTGTTATTGTCGATGTCTGTAATTGTTATTGTCGAAATATGTAATTGTTATTGTCGATATCTGTAATTGTTATTGTCGATATCTATTGTTGTTTATGTAGATATCTGACAAAGGTGATTGTCGATATATGTAACTGTTATTGTCGATATCTATAGTTGTGACTGTCGATATATGTAGTTGTAATTGTCTATATCTGTAATTGTTATTGTCGATATCTGTAATTGTTATTGTCGATATCTATTGTTGTTTATGTAGATATCTGACAAAGGTGATTGTCGATATCTGTAACTGTTATTGTCTATATCTGTAATTGTTATTGTCGATATATGTAACTGTGATTGTCGATATCTATTGTTGTTTATGTAGATATCTGACAAAGGTGATTGTCGATATATGTAACTGTTATTGTCGATATCTATAGTTGTGACTGTCGATATCTGTAGTTGTAATTGTCTATATCTGTAATTGTTATTGTCGATATCTGTAATTGTTATTGTCTGTATCTGTAATTGTTATTGTCGATATCTGTAACTGTGATTGTCGATATATGTAACTGTTATTGTCTATATCTGTAACTGTGATTGTCGATATCTGTAATTGTTATTGTCGATATCTGTAATTGTTATTGTCGATATATGTAACTGTGATTGTCGATATCTGTAATTGTTATTGTCGATATATGTAATTGTTATTGTCGATATCTGTAGTTGTAATTGACGATATCTATAGTTACGATTGTCGATATCTATAATTGTGATTGTCGGTAAAAAAATCTGTGATTATCGATATCTTAGAGTTGTGATTGTCGATTTCACTATTTGTGATTGTCAATGTTCGAGTTTTTTTTCGTTTATTCCTCGGAGTCATCATCTATACACGGTATCGTTGTGTAAACACTTCTAGCACCAGAGGACTCATCTGTCTTAACGTTTTCTACACTTTCCTCCAATTCATTTTCTAATTTAGAATTGAAACTCCTGGAGGCTTTGGCCTAGGAAATATCCCGTTTTTGGTTGTTCTTGGTTATCAACAGAGCACCGATTACTTATATGAGGAACATCTTTTGATTCCGGTACCGTACTATTTTGCGGGTCGGTGGGTGTTTTCTGTTTTTCTGTTTCTAAATTTGTCTCTTCGTGATCAGTATTCACTGGCACCGACTTGTTTTGTGGGATTCCAGGNTGTAATTGTTATTGTCGATATCTGTAATTGTTATTGTCGATATCTATTGTTGTTTATGTAGATATCTGACAAAGGTGATTGTCGATATCTGTAACTGTTATTGTCTATATCTGTAATTGTTATTGTCGATATATGTAACTGTGATTGTCGATATCTATTGTTGTTTATGTAGATATCTGACAAAGGTGATTGTCGATATATGTAACTGTTATTGTCGATATCTATAGTTGTGACTGTCGATATCTGTAGTTGTAATTGTCTATATCTGTAATTGTTATTGTCGATATCTGTAATTGTTATTGTCTGTATCTGTAATTGTTATTGTCGATATCTGTAACTGTGATTGTCGATATATGTAACTGTTATTGTCTATATCTGTAACTGTGATTGTCGATATCTGTAATTGTTATTGTCGATATCTGTAATTGTTATTGTCGATATATGTAACTGTGATTGTCGATATCTGTAATTGTTATTGTCGATATATGTAATTGTTATTGTCGATATCTGTAGTTGTAATTGACGATATCTATAGTTACGATTGTCGATATCTATAATTGTGATTGTCGGTAAAAAAATCTGTGATTATCGATATCTTAGAGTTGTGATTGTCGATTTCACTATTTGTGATTGTCAATGTTCGAGTTTTTTTTCGTTTATTCCTCGGAGTCATCATCTATACACGGTATCGTTGTGTAAACACTTCTAGCACCAGAGGACTCATCTGTCTTAACGTTTTCTACACTTTCCTCCAATTCATTTTCTAATTTAGAATTGAAACTCCTGGAGGCTTTGGCCTAGGAAATATCCCGTTTTTGGTTGTTCTTGGTTATCAACAGAGCACCGATTACTTATATGAGGAACATCTTTTGATTCCGGTACCGTACTATTTTGCGGGTCGGTGGGTGTTTTCTGTTTTTCTGTTTCTAAATTTGTCTCTTCGTGATCAGTATTCACTGGCACCGACTTGTTTTGTGGGATTCCAGGATTTTCTGTTTCTAAGTTTGTCCCCTCGAGATCTGTATCTGATAGTCTCAAATTGTTTATCTTTGCATCAACACTTGTAGTGCCAGAGGTCTCATCTGTCTGAATGTCTTCTGTACTTTTCTCCAAATCATTTTCTGTTTCTGTCTTAGACACTGAAATTTCTGGTGAAATTGGCGAAATAAGTACCGACTTTCCGGTTGTTTTCTGGGTATCAACAGAGCACCGATTACTTATATGAGGAACATCTGTTGATTCCGGTACCGTACTTTTTTGCGGGTCGGTGGGTGTTTTCTGTTTTTCTGTTTCTAAATTTGTCTCTTCGTGATCAGTATTCACTGGCACCGACTTGTTTTGTGGGATTCCAGGATTTTCTGTTTCTAAGTTTGTCTCCCCGAGATCTGTATCTGATAGTCTCAAATTGTTTATCTTTGCATCAACACTTGTAGTGCCAGAGGTCTCATTTGTCTGAATGTCTTCTGTACTTTTCTCCAAATNAACACTTCTAGCACCAGAGGACTCATCTGTCTTAACGTTTTCTACACTTTCCTCCAATTCATTTTCTAATTTAGAATTGAAACTCCTGGAGGCTTTGGCCTAGGAAATATCCCGTTTTTGGTTGTTCTTGGTTATCAACAGAGCACCGATTACTTATATGAGGAACATCTTTTGATTCCGGTACCGTACTATTTTGCGGGTCGGTGGGTGTTTTCTGTTTTTCTGTTTCTAAATTTGTCTCTTCGTGATCAGTATTCACTGGCACCGACTTGTTTTGTGGGATTCCAGGATTTTCTGTTTCTAAGTTTGTCCCCTCGAGATCTGTATCTGATAGTCTCAAATTGTTTATCTTTGCATCAACACTTGTAGTGCCAGAGGTCTCATCTGTCTGAATGTCTTCTGTACTTTTCTCCAAATCATTTTCTGTTTCTGTCTTAGACACTGAAATTTCTGGTGAAATTGGCGAAATAAGTACCGACTTTCCGGTTGTTTTCTGGGTATCAACAGAGCACCGATTACTTATATGAGGAACATCTGTTGATTCCGGTACCGTACTTTTTTGCGGGTCGGTGGGTGTTTTCTGTTTTTCTGTTTCTAAATTTGTCTCTTCGTGATCAGTATTCACTGGCACCGACTTGTTTTGTGGGATTCCAGGATTTTCTGTTTCTAAGTTTGTCTCCCCGAGATCTGTATCTGATAGTCTCAAATTGTTTATCTTTGCATCAACACTTGTAGTGCCAGAGGTCTCATTTGTCTGAATGTCTTCTGTACTTTTCTCCAAATCATTTTCTGTTTCTGTCTTAGACACTGAAATTTCTGGTGAAATTGGCGAAATAAGTTCCGACTTTTCGGTTGTTTTCTGGGTATCAACAGAGCATGGAGTGTGTTCTTGAGGAACATATTTTGATTCTGCTGAGACATTTTTTTGCGGGACGACGGTGGATATTCCATGCTTTTCAGTTTCTGCCTTTGACTCTAAATGGTTTCCAGTGTCTTGAATGAACACAACAGTCTCTCCGGTGGCTACGGGACCGTCGGCAAGGAATGGAGTAGTTTCCACATCTCTATCTTCTGGGGCGATTTCCGCAAAGACGTCAACAAACGTGTGGTTTGGCGTCTGGTCCAGTCCAGAAGTTCGCTTATTCATAGGCATCCACTTCTGAAAGGAGACAGTCACGTATTCACAATATCGAACAGGGAGTTTTAACAATACTGATATACCATCACTAAAGTTAAGGAATTTCAGGCTTCTTGAAAAGGAATTTGTGCTCGAGCTTTTGAATTTTATTGCGTAAACATATACTAAACATTCCTATAAGATATAGCCTACTAGGTTGACATGACAAAATAACAATATGATTTCAAATGCATAGTATAAAATTATGAAGGCGTCATCATCATCTCACCATTATCAGGCATACCTTATGACTGTTGGTGTAGGGGAGGTAACGCGGCTTTGTTTCCAATGAGCTAGTGCTAGAGTGAGGAATTAATTAATCTTTTTTTATACATTCATATTCATACAACTAGAATGAGGTATTCAATATAGTTTACATGCTTGCATACACGCTTGCTTGCATGCACGTACACCTGCATGCACACATACATACACATACAAACATACAGAGGGTGTGAGTAAGACCGGAGACTATTTAGTACTGGCTGCCCATAAACAGATGACATGGTATATACAATATAATATTGAGAATATGTCCCCAATGCCCTCTTTCGATACACTTTTGTTTTAATTGGTTTTGAGGAGGTGGACATAGCCAGAACGGCCTCCATAGGATCTCTTTGAAAAAGAAATTTCTAATGATTTCTTGTATACCGGAGTGTATACGCATTACGTTGTGCGATCCCACAAATGTGATAACCGAAAGGCCATATAGAACAGCTTGTCAACCGACAGACCAGTGAAAAAGTCTTATTAACCGACAGACAAGTGAGAAAGTCTTAATAGCCGACAAACAGTGAGAAGGTCTTAATAACCGACAGACCATTGAGAAAGTCTTATTAATCGACAAACCAGTGAGAAAGTCTTAAATAATAACTGACAAACCAGTGAAAACGTCTTAATAAACGACGGACCAGTGAAAACGTCTTAATAACCGACAAACCAGTGAGAAAGTCTTAATAACCGACAAACAAGTGAAAAAGCTTAATAACCGACAGACCAGTGGGAAAGTCTTAATAACCGACAAACAAGTGAAAAAGTCTTAATAACCGACAGACCAGTGAAAACGTCCCAATAAACGACAGACCAGTGAAAACGTCTTCATGACTGACAAACTAGTGAGAAAGTCTTAATAACCGACAAAAAAGTGAGAAAGTCTTATTAACCGACAGATCAGTGAAAAAGTCTTCATGACCGACAAACTAGTGAGAAAGTCTTAATAACCGACAAACAAGTGAGAAAGTCTTAATAACCGACAAACAAGTGAGAAAGTCTTAATGACCGACAGACCAGTGAGAAGGTTTTAATGACCGACAGACCAATGAGAAAGTCTTGATAACCGAGAAACCAGCGAGAGAAGTCTTAATAACCGATAGACAAGTGAGAAAGTCTTAATAGCACACGGGCCAGTGAGAAAATGTTAATAACCGACAGACAAGTGAGAAAGTCTTAATAACCGAAAAACCAGTGAGAAAGTCTTATTAACCGTCAGACCAGTGAGAATGTCTTAATAGCACACGGGCCAGTGAAAATGTCATAACAACAAGCAGGCTAGTGAGAAAGTCTTAATAGCACAATTGCCAGTGAGAAAGTCTTAATGACCGAAAGACCAATGACAAAGTCTTAATAACCGACAAACAAATGAGAAAGTCTTAATAACACACCGGCCAATGAGAAAGTCTTATTAACCGACAAACCAGTGAAAAAGTCTTAATAACCGACAAACCAGTGAAAAAGTCTTAATAACCGACAGACAAGTGAGAAGGTTTTAATGACCGACAGACCAATGAGAAAGTCTTAATAACCGGCAGACAAGTGAGAAAGTCTTATTAACCGACAAACCAGTGAGAAAGTCTCAATAACCGATAGACAAGTGAGAAAGTCTTATTAACCGACAAACCATTGAAAAAGTCTTAATAACCGACAAACCAGTGAGAAAGTCTTAAAAACCGATAGACCAGTGAGAATGTCTTTATAGCACACGGGCCAGTGAAAATGTCTTAACAACCAGCAGGCTAGTGAGAAAGTCTAAATAGCACAATTGCCAGTGAGAAAGTCTTAATGACCGAAAGACCAATGAGAAAGTCTTAATAAACGACAGGCCTGTGAGAAAGTCTTAATAACCGACAAACCAATGAGAAAGTCTTCATAACCGATAGACAAGTGAGAAAGTCTTATTAACCGACAAACCAGTGAAAAACGTCTTAATAACCGACAAACCAGTGTAAAAGTCTTAATAACGGACAGACAAGTGAAAAAGTCTTAAAAACCGACAAACCAGTGAAAAAGTCTTAATAACCGACAAACCAGTGATAAAGTCTTAATAACCGACAGACAAGTGAGAAAGTTTTAATGACCGACAAACCAGTGAGAAAGTCTTAAAAACCGACAGACCAGTCAGAATGTCTTAATAGCACACGGGCCAGTGAAAATGTCTTAACAACCAGCAGGCTAGTGAGAAAGTCTTAATTGCACAATTGCCAGTGAGAAAGTCTTAATGACCGAAAGACCAATGAGAAAGTCTTAATAACCGACAAACAAATGAGAAAGTCTTAATAACCGACTGGCCAGTGATAAAGTCTTAATAACCGACAAACCAATGAGAAAGTCTGAATAACCGATAGACAAGTGAGAAAGTCTTATTAACCGACAAACCAGTGAAAAACGTCTTAATAACCGACAAACCAGTGTAAAAGTCTTAATAACGGACAGACAAGTGAAAAAGTCTTAAAAACCGACAAACCAGTGAAAAAGTCTTAATAACCGACAAACCAGTGAAAAAGTCTTAATAACCGACAGACAAGTGAGAAAGTATTAATGACCGACAAACCAGTGAGAAAGTCTTAATAACCGACAGACAAGTGAGAAAGTTTTAACAACACAATTGCCAGTGAGAAAGTTATTATAGCCGACAGGCTAGTGAGATAAAGTCTTAAACGCACACAGGCAAGTGGTAAAGCCTGAATAACGGCAGGCCAATGAGAAAGTCTTAATAACACACCGGCCAATGAGAAAGTCTTAATAACGGACAGACCAATAAGAAAGTCTTATTAACCGACAAACAGTGAAAAAGTCTTAATAACCGACAAACAAATGAGAAAGTGTTTATAACCGACAAACCAGTGATAAAGTCTTAATAACCGTCAAACAAATGAGAATGTCTTAATAGCACACAGGCCAGAGGGAAAATCTTAATAGCACACGGGCCAGTGAAAATGTCTAAACAATCAGCAGGCTAGTGAGAAAGTCTTAATAGTACAATTGCCAGTGAGAAAGTCTTAAGGACCGAAAGACCAATGACAAAGTCTTAATAACCGACAAACGAATGAGAAAGTCTTAATAACACACCGGCCAATGAGAAAGTCTTAATAACGGACAGACCAATGAGAAAGTCTTATTAACCGACAAACAGTGAGAAAGTCTCAATAACCGACAGACAAGTAAGAAAGGCTTATTAACCGACAAACCAGTGAAAAAGTCTTAATAACCGACAAACAAATTAGAAAGTCTTTATAACCAAAAAACCAGTGAGAAAGTCTTAATAATCGACAAACAAATGAGAAAGTCTTAATAACACACAGGCCAGTGAAAAATTATTAATAACCCATAGACCAGGGGAACGGTCTTAACACCAAACAGGCCAGTGAGAAAGTTTTAATAATTCATAGGCCTCTGAGAAATCCTTATCAAAACACAGACCAGTGCAAAAGCAAACTTATTGTTAAGGGGTGGCGACCTCAAAAGTGTCCATGTTGTGTCTCAGGGCCTAGTCCATTTTGACGGGACTGCAGCAGACCCCAATGCAGACTCTGGTAAAATGATTGTGTTTGTCTCTTTATGCCCAGCAATTGTATGTATATTTACATATTATACAATATATGAGGTGGCCCTGGGGTTTCTGTTTCAAAGCTATGACTCGGAAACTGACTTCCTAGGAGTGTGGCAAGACCCTATGGTCAACTCTAATACCATGACTGTGTTCACGTCTTTATGCCCAGCACTTGTTTATATGACTATGGGATGGCGATTTCAACTCTTTCTAATACCATGACACTGTTCGCCACAATGCCTAGCAGTTGTATATATTGTTATTGTCAGGATATGATATGTTTTTCATATTTCTTTAATCATTTCTACCTGTTTAATTTAGTTACTATATGTTTCTTGATTACAACTACAGGTATGGTAACTTAGCGGGTTTTGAATACTACCGTTCTTGAACCTGTTATACAATGTTGATATGAGTAGCTACAGGGTTTATCTGTTCTATGCCAGAAGGATGCTTAGCCAATCAGAAATAAGACAGGTCGATCTCCGGTTAGAGGAGAACACATTCACCTGCCCAGTATCCTCACCACCCAGGGATGCTTCCAACCAAATATGGTTGATATTCTTTTCTTAGTTCTAAAGGAGTAGTCGCTTAAATCAATATGACCAAATCAACCCCTCCATTTATAAAATGTTGAATCCCAACCACCTAGAGATACGCTTCCAGTCAAATTTAGAGACATTCAAATCAGGCATTAAGGAGACGACGGACAGACGACGGACGCCGCAGTAAGGTATAAGCTCACTTTGGTCCTTTGGTGAACTAATAATAGAGGTTAGGATGAAAAGTGGCTAATGAGAATTGGCCGAGTATGTTTACAAAAGGATATTGGCAGCAAGCGTTCAAAACGTCATCCAGGTGACGGATTAAAATGCGATTTACAGGTGTAATTGGGAGTTTACGATTTTCACGTGGATGTTTCAACCACCAAGCAGCTGAGATAATCCACCCTCATAGATAATAGTCCAATAGTCTACTGATATATCACCCTAATAGATCATAGTCCAATAGACTGTACTGATATATCACCCTAATAGATCATAGTCCAATAGACTGTACCGATATATCAAGCTAAGAGATCATAGTCCAATAGACTGTACTGATAAATCACCCTAATAGAT